CTAGTTAACTTTTATTATTTATTTAACTTTTTAATATTTAGTGTAATATATTTCAATTTACTGTACCTACTGACGATTAAAATATTAATCCAAAGTATACTTACTACTTACTGCAGGTATTTCAAAACAATACATTGATTATATCTAAAGTGGAAAAAACGGACGGCGGTCAATATAAGTGCGTGGCGTCCAATCCTCTCGGACGAAAATCTTTTGAAGCGATGGTTAACGTGAACGGTAATATCATGTATATAATTATTATAGTCATATATCATTATTATAATATTGTCATACGAGTTCTGAATCACGTGTGACTTTAAAATTCCAAAAATCATAATTTGAATGATGTATCCTTCGTCAACCACTGGTTGTATGATACTCAAATAAAATAAACCTATAGTTATAACCAGACCCAGAAGTAGAACATATGTGTTGTCTCCGTTTTACGAATAAAAACATAGCAAAAACTGTTTTGTGCCCGAAAGAAGCGAGAAGGTTGTCTGTGATACCTATTCTGTTTTTATTTTTTCGACATCGGAACTACAAAAAAATTTATTTAAGTTTAAAAAACACAATAATAATGGATTTTGAAACAATATCAACGTTTTTCGTAAAAGTGATAAAAAAAAAAAAATAAAAACGATATTAATTCGCAGATAATGTCCTAAACTATATTGTATATGGTATATCTATATCAATTTAGAATCTTAAATATCACTACAATTTGTAATCATTATAATTTTACACGTGATAGAACACAATAACTAACCGATACACAAGACACACGTGAACGTAATTAAATGAATAAAACAATACAAATACAACTTTTACCCACTTAATATAATATATTATTTTTTTAAATAACTATATTTATAATTTAATTTAGGTTTGGCGGAAAATGGTTGTAATACCATGTTTGGAGTATTACCATGTTTTTTTTTTATTATCATTGTATTAGCGAATTGCCTATTGTATAATGACATATTGTAAAAAATGTATTATTATTATATTTGTGATTTCTGTATTGTATACAATCTATTATTATTATATTAGTGACTTGCGTATTGTGTTTAATCCATATGGTAAAATATAAAATAAAGTAAAAACTGCAGAACTGGCAGAACTACAATATAGTTTACAGTTTATTATTTTACTGTTTTTATTTTATACGATCATTTTATAGACACTGTACAATCATCACTCTTTCCAAACCTGGCAACACTGCGACTATCGCTTCATAAAAAAATTACCATAAATCTATTATACTTTATTAAGGGGCATGCGCGCGACCTGTTTTTTTGCTCAAAAACATGTATTACATTAAAAATTATCACGCCTAGCCACACATACTATTTTTTGTCACGCCTATAACGATATGTGCGCTAGGCACTTTTGGGGATTTCCACTTTACCGCCCTGGCACTTTTTGGGAAAAAGGACTCTTTCAAACGCTTCAACGGCTATCGAAAACCAAACTTTCGGTGCTGGTGTGACAAAAAATTATATTAAGTACGTACAATTCAATACTTATATTATATACTTATTAGTTTATCACTTAGGTATATATTTTATAAATTATAATAATTATTATAAATGCGTAATATACGTAGTGCGTAGTGATATATTATCAATATAATTTTATTATATTATCAATATACCCAATATATTTATAAATAATAAATTATAATCAATCTATCGTGGACCGTCACTACACCTTACCGCTACCGTTTTTTTTTTGTTCCATCAAACCAATCGATCTAATAATGAGATAATATTTCAGAAAACTCATCTGAATTCTTTAGAATGTCAATTTGAGATCGGTCAGTCCACATTTTAAGATTTATGCTTTAAATTCCGGATAGTCAACATTTGAAAATTCCAAAATTTCAAAATATTCAAGCTAAATTAATTTTTAGAGGTTGGGGTGGTGAAATTTGGAAAAGTGGACTTACAAATATCAAGTAGACATAATAACGAATTCAAATCTGTTTTAAAAAGTCTTATCGTATTAAAAGGTCGATCAGTATGATGGAATAAAAATTAGATGTTTTGGCTAAAATAACTGTTTAGTATATTATAAATTATAGCATTTCGTCAGGAACGTTTTTTCCCCGTCTAGCCCCCACATCGTGCCATAAAAAACTTCGTTTCATAATTATCTTGCCAATCTGCATTATTTATCCAAAACTTAGGCCTCAATTTTATTGTATGCATAATATGATTTTAATCAATGTGGTTCGAAGTATATTTGTCGACTTATAAAATAAAACAATATGCTTTACGTTTTTTGTGAAGTAATTTTAAAGCTAAGAATGCATATAAACGCACCATGCACAAATAAATGAAAAATCAATTGACAAAGAAACATTAATACAATTTTTTTTTTTTGAAGAAACAAGCCATGGATTTTAATTACTTAATGAAAAAACGAATATTGATCCTTTTATTTTTGTACATAGGTACCTACTACCTAGTATATTGTATTATTGTACATTACGAGTTTTGAATTGCGAAACATTATGGATAATTTATTACTATTTTATTAAATTGTTTTAAATACTTTTAATGTATGATTGATCTGACTACCAGAGTGATACACTATACACTATATTAATAAATTATAAGAATTGTTATGATATACAGTTGCGTATTTTTTTTTGATGAATTATAAAGGGAATTTGTCAAGCAAAAATAAGTGGTTCGTTATGAACTATTTTAATATTATATTAGGTCCTAAACTAATTAAGAAAGAAAATAAATTTGGTTTTAAATAATGTACTTATTATCCTATTATATTTTTAGTTATTTATAAAACTGTTATTCTTATAGCATCACTGGTAACGAATGTATCAAATAAAATATATAGTAATAATTATTAAATTATTGTGACCATTGATGATAACTATATAGGTACGAATGTATATGTTTAAATAATATTATGTTATTATTATCCTATTACAGTATACATGCAATTTATATGTTTATCTAGCGGCTCCGTGCATTCGTGTGTCTGTGTTACTTGTTTTTTCAGCGGAACTTTGTGTACCTATATTTAGATATTAATTTATTACAATGATGTTTTTTTTTAACATATTAATACGTTGGATCTCAAATGTTCATGTACAATTAAATTATAACATATTATTATTTATCAATTGCATTTGAATAATTTTTTATTTAATCGTCGTCGAAGAAACAAGGCAGATAGATAAAATATACAGTGAAATAGTAACATTATCATATTATTATCATTGGTGAGTACCTATATTATTTATAATATTTATTTTTCACAAGTGAACATTAATATTCATTAAAATTAAGTATTTTTTAAACTAATAATAGGCATATTACATAATATTCTTTATCTTAATTATATAGAATGGTAATATTTTTAGGCAGGGCTTACATTTGAAAAAAAAATCCTTTATACGTTATTTATCATTAAAATGTTACACAGTTTTTGGGTTTATCGTTATTTAGAATAAAAACGTTATTTATAATATTTGATGAGTATATTATGAACTTAGTGGTAGTAGATGTAAGACAGAGAAATATTGCAACCAATTAACAAATAAGTATATACAAGGCTGGGCAAGTTAACTTTTTTTTTTAACTCTCTAAGTTAAGTTAATTTAAAATATTATATAAGTTAAGTTAAGTTATAAGTTATTCGTATTTTTTTTCGTTAACTCGTTAAGTTAACAGTTAACTTTGAAAAAAAAGTAACTTAACTTAGTGTATAGTTGAAATTTGCTAATTTGCAAAAATAAAAAATTCCAGGCACATAACATGGGTTTATTAGATAGTTTTTCTTTACGTCCAAGAAAATTATTGGGGAAATTTAAAATAATACATCAAAGTAAAAACAAATTAAAAAAATTGCATTATTCTTCGGAAGAAAATTAACTTAATTTAGATATTTTTGAAGTAAAATTAACTTGAAGTCAACACGTTAATCTTAAAAAAAGTAACTTATTAAGTTAAAAGTTTATTTGAAAAAAAAGTAACGAGTAAATTAACTTAATGTTTTAAATTAATTTTAATTTTTAACTCGTTAATGCCCAGCCTTGAGTATATATACCTACGATCTGGACACCCTCTCAAAAAACATACAAAATACGCCACTGATAATATCTATGTACACGACTTATTTGTTTCTGGCAATATTATACATAGTCACACCGACAACACGTTTTCCATGGTGTATATACTATAAACTATTACAAATTATTTGTGTACCTAATATAGGTATTAGAAATTATATTACGATTTATTACTTATAGATAGGTCATAACATTGTTCATTGGTTCAAAAAGATATTTCGTACCTACATAGATGATATTTTTCATTAATCATAATATTAATCATTGTATTTTACTGTATATATATATTCCTTAGATTAAAAATGTTTATATTAATATTAGTATTTATAATTAGTTTTATTCAATTGCACACACACCCAATTTGCACATAGCTCCTCTGTTTATTCATACCTATAACCTTGTACCTTGTACTGATTACTTCATAAGTACCTACATAATGATAACATAATATATTATTATCTCAATATATAATCCGAAAAATGAAACCTTTGATGATAATGTTCTAGGAAACTACCGATAACTCGACCGATATTCTTAAAATACAATCATATTTTTTTTTAAGAGTTGCGATTTTTTACGGGCAACAGAGTGCACCGGTTCAGCTAGTAATGTATAAAAACTATTTAAAATTAAATATATTTATTTACTTTTATTAATAGCTATAGGTAGGTAGGTAAATAATGATAAATTAATAATAAATCCACTAAATTATAATAAGTATTATGTTTAATTACACTGTATATCACATTTCCCTTCTTGAGGTAACTATTTATTACTTGGAATATACAGAGTGATACAACGCAGATCGCCGCACACGTTCGGTATTGTATATTATTTTCTATTACGTTACGCAGCGGCAAGTGCGATTGTGTAGTGTGCTTTGCGACCAGTCCGAGTGATGACTCGGCCGATGCATCAAGACGCCGCAGCCGCCGCTGTTTTACGGAGGATTATGGTGTTGCTACTTTTGCTGTTGATGTTCTCCTTGTCGTCGTTTCCATCGGTCACCGCCGAGTGCCCTTACAAATGCACATGCGATGAAGAGCATATTGTGGACTGCAATAAACAGGAACTGAACCGGATTCCCGACCGCATATCTCCGGCTACCAAAATTCTGTAAGTCGACTGTACGGAAGATAATACCGACGTTGAAACGCCGGGTGTCGAGTTTTAAAATGTACTTAGTAATTTACTTTGTCTGAGTATTGCGAAATCTAATTTATCAATAATTGTGTTAACGCCTGCAGTGGCATTTTTGTTGATGCAAGGTGGGCATTTTCCGATTTTTTTTTTATCAAACGCCGTTTAAATTGTATTTAAATGTGAACTATATTGTTATATAACAATTGGTTCCTTTTAAAGATTAAATTATATAATTTTGAATCTAAAACAAAATAATTACATTTAAAAAATAATTTACCGCGTCCCCCCCACTACTAAATACTGCTCAAATACGTCACTGTGCTATGATCTTATGGATATTATAATTCGAGTGGCGTATACACCTTTTCGCAATCTCAAAATCGTATTGCATCGTATCACTCGTATCGCAAGGTTGTTTCGTTGGCGCAGCCACACTCATTTATATATTTATATAGAGTAATAAGTAATATTTATATTTTTAGCAAATTTGTAATATTTTTTTCTATTTGAGTTTGCAACAATTGTTTTACAGTTGGCACACCAGGGTTCCTAAAAATGTTGGTCAAAGATTTTTACTTTTTAATACAAGTTTCTTAGGAAGTCGGTCTTAATATATCTCATAATCAATAATTATATTAAATTTTAATATCGTTGAAAGTCTGTATTCCGGTTGGAGCATAACATTAATATTATCGTTTGAAAAAAATGATTTGTGACAATCCGTGTAGTCACTAGTCACACTACCAAGTGCATGTACACCGAATGCTGCGTAAGTTTAAATTTTTAACTTTCAAGTCCCAAAATTAACATGATAGGATTAGGGAAAAATTAAAATTTTAGAGTCGTTTTATGATAACAAGAGTATAATAACGCGTGCATGCTTCGATATTAATGAAGACAATAATTATATAGGTATTGCACATGATCGATATCCATAGGTCCCTAAGTACAAAAAAAAAAAAATAGAAAAACAAGTAAAATAATTTACATAACACGGGATCCAATAATACTATGAATTAATCATATATTTTGTATGATAATAATTAAACAAATTGTATTGTATTCCAGGGACTTGAGCCGTAATAAAATCAGGGATATCGAACCGAAAGCATTTACTTACCTTACACAGTTAAACAAATTGTGAGTTACCGATAATATTATAATATTATAATCTCATAATACCAGCGGATATGCGACAATAAACAAATTGTATTGTATTCCAGGGACTTGAGCCGTAATGAAATTAGGGATATCGAACCGAATTCATTTACTCATCTAACAGAGTTAACGTCCTTGTGAGTTATAATATACCTAATATAAACACTTTTAAATACATTGACGTTATAATTAATTATAATCCAGAATGTAAACATATTTTCAGACATTTGGACTACAATAAAATAAGTAATTTGAAAATTGGTGCATTTGCCAACCTTTCGAAACTTCAGATATTGTAAGAATATAAATTAACAAATAGCTAGTGTTTATGTATTTATTTATATAATATTATTATCTATATATTATCTATATAATAAATTATTTAATTATTAGATATTTGTTTTCAAATGAAATCGAAAACATCGAGACTGGGGTTTTTAATAACTTAACGAGTTTGGAATGTTTATTATTGCATGGCAACAAAATTCATAAGCTCGATTTGGAAATGTTTAAGGGACTTACAAAACTGGAAATTCTGTAAGTATTAAACACATTTTTCATGTGATCGTATTGTGTAGCCAAATTAAAATTACATTTCATATTTTATAAATAGGTTTTTAAACTACAATAAGATAAGAAATATTCCACCTGGGATATTCGATTCGTTAACGTCGTTGAGTGGTTTGTAAGTCATAATGAACTGCCTACAATATATATATATTATTAATATTATAATAGTTATACTTTCATTATTTGAATTATATATTTGTCTAAACAAAACATTGATGATTTCTTCTATAGAGATCTAAACCATAACCCGTTGACGTGCGATTGCAATATGAAGTTGCTTGCAAACTGGCTGAAGAAAAATTACCCCGACCGAATTTTCATCTCTCTTAAACGCATGATGTGTTATTTTCCCGTAGAAATGAGAGAATTATCGTTGGAGAAAATAACCGAAATCGATATTCATTGCAGTGAGTAATGATTCTTATTAAATAAAAGACATAAAATAGATATCATCGTAATATTATATGCTATAATCTACATAGTATAATAATGTCTGCAACTGTGCTGAACCTATTTATTGTTAAGCCGGCTATAAGTGAGTTTCGCCTTAATGGTTACTATTGTTTGACAGATTTTGTAAATCAACGAATTGATTTATTTAACAGGTTAAATGCCATGTAGGGTCTATTGTCCTTTCATTCGACCTGTCAAAATGATTCATATCAAATTCAGTAGGTTTGTCTAAATAATTTTTTACATTACAGCGAAAACAAAGGCAATTATCACTTTTGATCACATGTTAACTATTGATTGACTTTCTTACCTGAATTGAATGCACACATAAAAAAATTGATGGATCATAGAACCCTACGTGGCGTTAATGACAAGTGTAGGGTCATTAGATCATTTATTCAATATTTTTGTATTGTAATATTACAATAGGTTTACCACTTATTATATCACTAATAAAGATTGTGATTATTATTATTAAAACTGCCAAAAAAATCGTGCGATTACAAATCGATAACGATAGAAATTTTCCAAAAATTTTCTATTTATACATTTTTCCATATACCTAATATATATATATATACAAAATATAATATAAACTCCGGGGTATTTCAACGAACCATTTTACAAACTTGTTATACAGACCACGCTCTGTTTGAATTCTATAAGAAAACATGTAAAATTAAGGTTTTGGAGACAATACTTGGCGACAAAGACAAGTACTGCATGACGGGCTTTAAAACTCTACGTGGCGCTATTTACAAGTCACATCGACGAGTCAACAGACCCACATGGCGCTTAAATTCAATTTTTTGGCTTGGCGCATAACCGCTAATGATGTGGTGATTTTGACCTATGTATTACGTATATTTTTGTACATACAGCGTCTCCGGATATAATCGTGGTACCAGAGAACAAGACGGTGTCGGTCGGTGAACAGTTACAACTCTCGTGCAAAGCCGTAGGAGACCCGGAACCTTTTATAACGTGGGCCAAAGACGACATCGATCTAGAACTTGGCCAAAGAGTTCAGGTAAGGTTATTTTAAGATATATGGTAATTGATCTTTCGTACAAACCCAGTGAAAAATCAGCTTATATAATATATATAATCGTACACTGTTGTTAAAAAATGTTCTATTAATTATTTACTTTATACTCATTGCATAGACTCAAACTTTTTAGGAATAATTTTCCCAATAATTTTTCATCCCTAAATATTTGCTATTTGATGCAACCTACTCCTGCATGAGGCCAATAAAGAATCTAGGACAAAATCCCAAGACCAAAATCTCACTCGAACTGTTTACATTTAGAAAGAGTTTGCTTAAAACAAATAATAATTTTTAGATTCGTGTTTTTTTTTTATTGTGTATGTCCTTTAAAGACAGTAAAACTGCTTAGATTTCCTTCAACAGTATTTTTTCTGATAGGAAAGTGAATCTAGTTGGTACTTTGGTAGGGTAAAAAGTAAAAATACGTTGAATTCACGAAAATGTGCAAATTATTTTGTATTATAAATTCATAAAAATGTTCTTTTTAAATCTATGAATTGAAAACGTAATACAAGATTCCTTATGAGTTTGTCGACCTTTATCAAAAAAAAAAAATATCTACAAGCAAATCAGATTAAAATGTTATGAGCGTTTGAAGCTGTTTACATACCATTTTAAATTTCAATTTTAGATTCTGAGTAGAACGATGAATGTATTGATTTTACAATGATGTGTGTTTTTTTAATTTTTTAATTTTTTTTTTTTTTTGTGTCTGTGTACACGATAAGTAGTCGAAATAATGCTTCAATTTTCCGCTTCAGTATCTTGTTCGATTAGAAAGTGAATCTAGTTGGTGCATTCAGGAGGTCAAATTTTAAAATTCCCAATAGTTTTCACAAGCGCCATGATTAAATACATAAAAATTAAGGAATAACGGGAATTTTCGATGGAAAGTCTGTTTTCCAAAAAGTCGATTTTTGCTTTTGGTGTAACTCTAAAACAAATGAACGTATATAAATGAAATTTTCACTGGTTGTTTATATTTGCATTTTCTATACACGATAAGATTTTAAAATATTGTGATTTGATTTGAACTGTTTAGGGACATTTTCATTTTCCATTTTTTTTTTACTTTTTATTCTAAAACTATCAATAAAATTTTATTTGTTGGTTTCGAAAGCTTGAAAATTTAAAAAAAGGCTCTTAGTATATTGTTTCAAATGTAGATGAAAAATATTAAAAATCCTTTGTCACAGTATATTGTTATAAGCATTTAAATTTCAAATATTGACAAAAGAAGAAAAAATAACGAAAATTTGCAAATTATTTTGAGTTATTAATTCATAAATAATTTTCTTTTTAAATCTAAGATTTGAAAATGTAATACAAAATTCCTTATAAGATTATTTACCTTTATCAAAAAAAAAATGTCTATAAGAAAGTCAAATTAAATTTTTATGAGCGTTTGAAATTCAAATTTTTACAACATTGGGTATTCACTCGATTTCTCATGTAGCGATTTCCTTATTTTACTGTAATTCAAAAACGATTAACTGTAGATACATGAAAATGTCACTGAATTTTTATATTAGCATTTCCTATACATTATATAATTTTGAAAATATTTTGACTCGAGGCTAATGATATATTGTTACAATAGCAGTTGAAAAATATTAAAAATACATAGGCACAGAATTTTTCAAAATCTCGAAAATTATTAATCATCGTAATTAATAAATTATAAAATGTTCAGTTTTTATAGCTAAGGATTGAAAATTTAAAACAAGATTCCACGTAAGTAGTTAATTCTCTTACCGAAAAATCTAAAAAATATACAATCACAATTTATTTTTATAGTCATTTTATGTTCAAATTTAGACGAAATTACATATTAAAAAACCTAGTTATTTTGTTGTGATTATATAATATTATTCGTGGGTACCTACTTGAAACTTCTAAAGTGTACTATTATATATCTATGATAGTATCAGGGTATGTTATTGATGTTGATGTATAACGTGTTATAAGTACCTAATGGATATTGTGATAATGTGATATGATTAATTTGGAATTTAATATAGGTCAATTTTTTTTTAATACCATAGATATGTCATATGTATATAATTGGTCTTAAACCTAGACTGACATACCGACTTCGCTCAGAATCGTTTTTCTTATACAATGATATCGTATCATTGAATTCAAATTTAATAGCATCCATTATATACAGTGGCCCACTTGTAACCTACTGTACAGCAGAAAATCTTTAGTCACAATTTTTTTTTATAAGCATTTAAAGTTCAAAAATTGACAAAATATGGAAAAATCACGAAAATTAGCAAATTATTTTGAGTTAAGAATTCGTAAAAATTTTTCTTTTTAAATCTAAGATTTGAAAATGTAATACAAGATTCCTTATATGATTATCTACATTTATCAAAAAAAAATGACTATATGAAAGTCAAATTAAATTTTTATGAGCTTTTGAAATTCAAATTTGTACAACATTGGATATTCATTCGATTTCTCATGTAGCGATTTCCTTTTTTGGTTGTAATTCAAAAACGAATAACTGTAGATACATGAAAATTTTATTGAATGTTTTTATTAGCATTTCCCATACACCATACAATTTTTAAAATATTTTGACTCTTTTTAAGCTATTTATGGACATTTACAGCTTTCAATTTATTTTAGTTTTTTTTTCTATAAATATCAATAAAGTGTTATCTGTTGGGCCAAAAAGTGCAAAAATGTAATACAAGGCTCCTGATATATTGTTACAATATCAGTTGAAAAATATTAAAAATACATAGGCACAGTTTTTTTTTATAAGCATTTAAAGATCAAATTTTGACAAAATTTATCAAAATCTCGAAAATTATCAATCATTGTAATTAATAAATTATAAAATGTTCAGTTTTTATAGCTAAGGATTACAAATTCAACACAAAGGTTCTCATAAATAGTTCATAATATAACCAAAAAATCTAAAAAATATATGAACACACTTATTTTTTACAGACATTTTAAATTCAAATTTGGACGAAATTACATATTAAAAAACCTAGAATAACTATTTTAGTTATTTTGTTGTGATTGAATAATATTATTCGTGGGTACTTTAAACTCCTAAAGTGTACTATTATATATCTATGATAGTATCACGGTTCTTGTTGATGTATAACGCGTTATAAGTACCTAATGGATATTGTGATATGATTAATTTGGAATTTATTATAGGTACCTATTATAGCTTAATTTTTTTTTTTAATACCATAGATAAGTATATAATATTTCTTATACCTATAATGACATGCCGTCTCTGCTCAGAATCGTTTTTCTTATACAATGATATTATATCATTGAATTCAAATTTAATACCATCCATTAGACAGTTACCCACTTGTAACCTACTCTACAGCAGAGCGACACCTACTTGCCTACCTTTTTTTATTTTTATTTCTATGAATATTATAAAATACTATCTGTTGGGCAAAAAATAGTGAAAATATAATACTAGGCTCCTGGTATATTGTTAAAATTGCAGCTTAAAAATAATAAATATTTTTAGTCACAGTTTTTTTCTTTAATAAGCATTTAATGTTCGATTTTTGACAATATTTATCAAATTAAAAAATTAAAAATGATTTTGTAAGCTTTTATATCTTAGGATTGAAAACTTAAGACAAGGTTACACGTCAATATGATATATATAAATTACTTTATTCACAATAATATCATCAAATGTACTTAGTCATATCATAGGCTGACTGTTACGCTCAGAATTGTTTTTCTTAGACAATAATGTTATATCATATTAAAATGTAATACAATCCCTTACAGTGACCCACTTGTAACCTACTGATGTACATGATATATAACTGGAGCATTTTCGTTTATACGGCAACGGCACACCAGGTTTCCTAAAAATGCTGATCAACGATTTTTACTTATTAATACAAGTTTCTTGGGAAGTCGGTCTTATATCGATTTAAAAATATCGTAAATAAATAAAAAGGCACATTTTTTATTATTTGAAAATAAAGTTAAAAATGTATAAATAATGTTGAAAAATGTGAAATATGCACAAATATTATAATACGCTAAAAATTTCTCAAATTTGCACTTTTCCTAAAATATGACGAAATATGCAATGATAATATACAAAGTTAAGTAACTTAAGTATGTAAGTTAACATTACCCCAGCACCCAAAACATTAAATAATTAAAATTTCGACTTGAGTCAAAATGTTGGCCTTGGGGTGCCAGGGTAACACCCCTGGTCGAGACCCGAGCCTCACTTCATACTTGCATATAGTTACACGTACGCATTATACAGCGGGTACCTATATAATTATGAACAACACTGTCTCGTTACTTATTGGCTATTAAGAATATATATTTACTTCCTCGGTACTTTTTTTATGACGAATCTAACCTATTGTCAGTACCTAGTTAACATTTATCATTTATTTAACTTATTAATATTTAGTGTAATATATTTCAATTTACTGTACCTATACTGACAATTAAAATATTAATCCATAGTATACTTACTGCTTACTGCAGGTATTTCAAAACAATACATTGATTATATCTAAAGTGGAAAAAACGGACGGCGGTCAATATAAGTGCGTGGCGTCCAATCCTCTCGGACGAAAATCTTTTGAGGCGATGGTTAACGTGAACGGTAATATCATGTATATAATTATTATAGTCATATATCATTATTATAATATTATCATACGAGTTCTGAATAACGTGTGACTTTAAAATTCCAAAAATCATAATTTGAATGATGTATCCTTCGTCAACCACTAGTTGTATGATACTCAAATAAAATAAACCTATAGTTATAACCAGACCCAGAAGTAGAACATATGTGTTGTCTCCGTTTTACGAATAAAAACATAGCAAAAACTGTTTTGTGCCCGAAAGAAGCGAGAAGGTTTTCTGTGATACCTATTCTGTTTTTATTTTTTCGACATCGGAACTACAAAAAAATTTATTTAAGTTTAAAAAACACAATAATAATGGATTTTGAAACAATA